ATGCGGTTCACAGTACCGCGGGCACTGTGCTGCTCAGGTTTGTCTGCGGACAGTCCACCCAGGCTGAGTGTGCCGAAAAAAAAGGGAGCGGAGGGCGTGCTATGGCGTGCTATGCAGCTGTGCAACTGTCTTCCTTGGTGATGCACGCCACACGCACGCGGTCTCTGCAGCTCTGGCTCGGTCCGCCCTCCGAGCCTCCTCTTTCCAGAGTAGGATGGCTCCAGGCATGAACCACGCAGCATGTGCCGGGTTGATAAGACGATGTGGTCCTGAGTCTTTGAGGTGCGTCTGAATTGCGGGAGCAGCTGGCCAGAGCCGAGATGGACAAGAAGGCGGACGAGCTCTGCACCAAGCCAGTTCAGGTCTGCTCTCTTCTGCGCTCTTGCAGGAAAAGCTCCAGATCCTTTGCCATCAGCAGGACTTGGTGGTTTTGCTTGGCTTCCCGAATGCGAGTGAGTCGGAGCCTCTTCTCGGCGCAGGAGGAGCGAGCCAAGGCTGGAGCTTTGTGGAAAATTTGCGAAAAGGCTCGGCCTTTGGGCCGGGCCCCCGGCCGCCACCCGCAGCCAGGCCTTGGAGGCGTTGAACAGCCGCAAAGAGGACTCGGACACCGAAGCAGACTTGGAAACTGCGTTCGCATGTCACTGCACTTGATGCTGTAGCTGCTGCGGCTCAAGGGCGCAGTTTCGGCAAGATGCAATCCATGGCACAAGCATACATGCAAGTTGAAACATATTCGTATCATCCTGTCACCAGACCATGATCCTTTGCGCGAGAAAGCGGACTTCTGCCCGGCATTGCCCATCTTGATTCGATTGAGTGACAATGCACAAGTCTGTCCTCGCCTGGCATGGATTTGGTGCGATTCTTCACCAAGTTCCAGATTCTTGCAGAAAAGGGATGTTGGCATTCACCACAAGAATGTTGCAGACCTTGCTTCTGCTTGACTCTCTTGCACCTGCTGGCTGCTGCCGTGCCTCAGGTGCTGGTCATGCGAATGTGGAGACTTGGAGGAACTGGCAGAACAAAAGGCAGTTGTCGAGAGCTTCATGCACAGGTCTTCTTCTGTATCTCGCATCGTTTTTTTGCACTAAGCCAGCTGAGCTGTGGATGTTTTCAGGGCGGACTTGGCAGTCGTCCGATGTGCGGTTTTCGGAGCGCAGGTCTCGGTCGCACCTTTGGACTTCCGATTCCATCGCTTTCCCGGTTCCAGGGAGCGCAGCAACCTGGCACCAACTTCTTGTGGGAGTGTGGCCCTCCCAAATTGCTTGTTTTCAACGCTCAGGGGCCAGCGAGAGCTCGCAGGGCCCGGCAAGCGAGCCTGCATCGGAAATCCAGACGCTGCCAAGCCCACGAGAAAAACAGCGACATGAGCTGAAACAGAAGCTTGGTCAAGAAACTGGTTCGTCATGCGCGGATCCGGATCACCAGGAGGGTCAGACAAGCCAATGATTGTCAATGCCCACCCAGGCTGATGAGGAGGTTTGCGACTCGTGGAATGGACGGTGTGTCGATACAACTCTTCGATGAGCAACTCCTTTGCAAAGCTTTCGTCACAGCTTGCGAAGTTTCTCAATTCTGATCCTTCACCTCTTGCGAGGCTGTCTGGCTCGACCTGCCCTGGTGTTTATCAGATCGACGACTTGTTGGAATACATCCGCCTCACGCCAGAGGATCCAGTTCGATCACAACGTTCGGAAACTAGATGTAGATGCAGCCACAGCTCGGCCAAATCGGCTCCTCTTGCAGTTTCCGTGCAACATCAGCGAAACAGGGGTGGTCCGCTGAAGGACACGGCTGACAGCGCACCATATGCCGGGCCTGAGCACAATGCCTACATCCGACAGGCGCAGCTAGACGGTGCCAGTGACTGAATCCTAGATACCCTGCAGTTTCTGAAACTAGTTTCAGAAAGATCCCCAAAATAGATCCAGATATTATGAAAACCATCCTTAATAAAGACCCTGAAAAGGGAACCCATAATTTCAAGAAGCCCCCACTTCGAGAGCAGTCTTGTAAACTTGCGCGGGGAGAGTTGTGAGGCATATAGACCTTACCTTAGCATCCTTGATACTTTGCATATTGCTGCTGGCAGACGTCGCGCATGAGTCTCGCGAATTGTTCCGAGCACTTCAGTCCATGCCCGTTAGTAGACTTCCTGTGGAAGGTTGTTTCAGTCTCTTCCGGCGCTGAGTGTGCCGCTCATGTGGAGCCAGGTGGGAGAGGAGACAAGTGTTGTGATTCGGTGGTTCGGTAGCATAGAACGGTCGGGGCTTTTGAGTGAGGTGCTTGGCAGCAGCTCACGAGTGATGAGCAGGCTCGCTTGCTGGTATTGGTACCTGGGCCTGAGATGTGCTTTCGCGACTCTTAGAGGCCGGGTCGAGAGACGTCGCCTGAATTGAGGTTTATCACACCCAGCCGCATGGGAGCTTGCCACCCGTGGATTGCCGAAAAGTGTGTTTCTTGGAGTCTTGGCAAAAAGCGTTAAAGTTATAAGCACCTGCCGCACGGATGAGGGGCCTCGCAGAAAACCTGAGGAAGATGATGAGTCTGCCTGCCAGATGTTTGCGATCTGCGTGAGGACTGCACCACCGGAAAGCAGTTTATGCTTCTGAGAAGCTGACCAGAGGCAGGGACGTGCAGAGACCAGGCAGGGTGTAGTTAAGCTTGTTCTGACCCTGTCGGCCCTGCTTCATGTTCCCAAGTCTTGTGCTTCTAACCAAAGCCGAACGAATGAATGAGGATTGCCGTGATGCTCGTTGAAAGCCGCCGTAGCTTCATGGCCGGCGAAATGAAGATAAAAGCACACAGCTCCAGATCTGGCTTGGGCAACGATGGGCCGGCGTCGGGGCCCACACAAGGGCTCAAATCAACAACTCACCTACTCGTAAATGCCAGATGCGTGAAAGAGCGTGTGCGGCCCTGATGAAACATCCGGCACGGGGTCTCCTTTGATGGGAGCTTGGGTCAGGGGCACTGTTCGCCTGCGTGTTTCTTAGTCTCCTAATTGTTCCCTTGCTGGCGAGCCTCGCATCTAATCTCAGATTCAAGCAGGGTGCGGCGAAGCAGAGTCACTGCTAGACGGACACAGACATGGATCACGATGAAACTTCAGTGTCCGCAGGATCTTGCGCCGGTACATGGAGGACGCGAGGCAAAGCCAGACTCCTCGGACAATTTGACCGCATGCTACGAAAATGGGTCTGGGGAACTGCTGATTGGCCGAGCGGTTTTGTCAGTTATGATGAAAGCCGTGCTGCAACGGTTTGTCAACACATGCATCGGTGATCAGAAGTCTAGTTCCGTGGTTCCTCTCTGCAGGAGCAGCTAGTGAAATTGTCGGGAGCTTGATCTGGCGGAACTCAAACAGACTGCCTTGGATGACGCGCTCATTGCCCACAGGCACAATCGGCTGGAGGAGGCCTTGGCTGTACTACAGGCATCTTGGCTTGCGGTGAGCTGCAAATGCGGTGGTTCTGGGTTCGCTGAAGCCAGGAAGGTCAGAAAATGTATGCCACGCAACAGCCCCTCGGACTCGGACATCGTGGTGTATTTGGAAAGCCACGCCTATAAGCTCCCAAGGGTCAAACGACGCCAGGAAAGTCATGGACTCGCAGCAAGAGACAATCGAGCGACTCTGCTGGGAGCTGAGCTCTTCGCTGCGAATCTTCCGAAGTCGGCTTGCAAAGTGCTTGCAAGTTCAGGTCGTAGCCAGCCGAATGGCCTGGAAAAGCCAGCCCCAGAGGCAGGAGGATTGGATTGAGCGTGGCAGGGATGCTTTGCAGGGGGCTTCACCCCACAGGCTGTGCCAGCCAAGAGCGGCAGGGATGAGGCCAGCCATTCAATGTAAAGATCTTGGCCTCTGGGCGTTCTGCCTCGGTCCCAGGCCTCGCGAGCTCGGGCAGAGGCGGCTTGACAAGTCATACTGCAAGCAAAAGCTCGAGATTCTCATTCTCAAGACAAGATTTCGGAGCAAAGGCCAAAGCACAGGCGATGCGCCCGTCTACGCAAAAACCGGACATGCAGGACCGATTTGCCCAAGTCCAGATTGTGTGTGATTGAATTGCACGACTCGCGTCCGAATATGTCAGCAGAGTCGAGTGTGAAAGTCTGGGACCATTTCCACGGAAGGAAAGTCCGAGTCCGGAGTCTCCAGAAGAGGAGAATGAGGAGAATGAGTTCCTGGGCGTCGAATCCCCGGCGCAACTGGAGAGTCTCTGCTTTGTTTTGCAGCTTTTGAGAGAACCCATATGCTGGCTGCGCCCTGAGATGGATACTCAACAAGCCGAGCAAGTACTGGCGGCGCTGCAGGTCAGAAGATGCATTTGAAGGAATTCCCCTTCGGAAGAGAGCACGGAAGTGTAACTGCATCAGATGGGGCACTGGCAGGACTACTTCGTACAGGGTAGCACTCAAGGTACGTGTTGTGGGAGTGACCGGCCAGGCTATGCTTGCGGAGAAGGAGCAGCTCCATCAGCAGCTGCTGAATGAGCAGGCTGGAGCCCAGCCAGACCACAGTCGTCGGATGTTTCCCCGCGCAGTGGGGGAGTCTGGACAGGCTGATGCTGAAAGGAGACTGCAGGCGCTGAGAGAGATGGGCTCGGCATAGGTTGCTCGAACGTGGCCCGGGCGGCCACTGTGCTTCGAGTGCAGTTCAGCCACTTTACACTATTCATGGGTGAGCCGACCGTGAAATGGACGAGCCAAATGTGCTGCAGTCAAAAGGCAGAGCAGTGTGTCGGTGCAGCATTGCCTCTGTGCCATTCGCAGCACATACACCGCTCCCCACAACGGAGCCAATCCTGGAACGACATGTCGAAACGGCAAGAGGTGCAGAGTAAGTCACGCTGAACACCCACCGCCTCAGACATTACAGAGCAACTTACCTTGAGGCCGTTTGCCATCATGCTTTGTCATGCTTTATGCAAATTAGGCTTTCAGACACCCTTCCTGGTGCTTCGGGTCCTAGAGTCGTCCTATGGCGATGCTTGCAAGTTCCGGCCATGGCCAAGGCAGCCTGGTCTCGCCTGGAAGGGCAGAGAGGAGGAGGTCTGCGGACGCGATGTGCTTTGGGATGGCTGGTGCTGGCCACTCAGGCTGAAGAGAGCGCGACTGAAGCAGGAGGCCGGTCACGCATCCCTGATCCTGCCGCAGGCCTACGGCGGAGCCGTAGACTGGCCCAGAGAGCCACCTTCTTGGCCAAAGTACCCGGGCCGCCAGGCCAGGCCAGGTTGAACTGACTGTTGGCACAATTCTGGATGCGTCTTCAGTGCACGCGCCGGAGGTCAGTGTCCTGAATGGCACCTGGCAGTTTGCCTTTCTCGGCGACGTGGTCCTCAGTGCTAAGTTGCTGGCAGCGGGCTGATACTCTCTCGGTGCACTTCGTCCACTCTCTCTCTTGAGTGCCACGAGGTCGAAAACGCGTCTCTGGAGCCGGTGCTCGTCCCGGATGCCTTCGACATGCGCGCGGAGACCCCGCGCTGCAGCACCTGCTGGCCCAAAGAGGCGAACCCGCAGAGAAGAAGGGAAGAAGGGGCCCAGCCGGCACTGCAGCAGAGATTCCTCCAAACAGTGCAGTGGGCCGTGAGCATCTTTCCAATGAGGCAGAAGTTGCAGGTCTAGGTCTAAGTTTGTGCCTTGCATTGAGGATGAGCAGCAGTCAGTAGTCCATAAGACATACGCACGGGCCCACGAAAGACGTGGAAAGCTGATTGCAGGTCACAGAGAGCGAGGAGCTCTGCAGAGTCTGCTGCAGCCGTGCCTATGGATGGCAGGGGAATCAGCAATGTTGGCAGACCTTGCCGGAGGCAGTCTGAACTCCGAGCTCTGGTCCTGAAGAGAACCCAGAAAGCCCAATACCCCCTAATTAAGGACTGCAGCTTAAATCGGAATATGAATCCCCTTATAGCCTTATAGTATAAGGTATATTCCTTAATCAAGGGGTATTGGGCTCTCTGGGAACAGCTTAGGCAGTCCGAAGCTTTCCGCAGGCAGAGCGGGAAGTGGCCTTCCGGAGCTGCTGTAGTGAGCACTGGCTTCGACATCGGCGTGGCGTTGCGCTCTATCAGACTCAGGTAGAGGCACCGGGCATATACCACCCAAATGAGAGTTTCCGAAAATTAGGGGTGCCTTGTTTTGGGGGGTCCTTATAATAAGGATCCTACCTAGGCCTTCTTCTGTGATGTTTATTTCCGTAACGAAATATTTGTGTATCAAACTTATGTGTTTATGGCCGCTTTCGCAGATGTGGCCGCTTTATGACAAATGTGTACGGAACGGTTACAAGAAGGCAAGATTATGGGGTTGGCTAACATATATGGCATAACATTGGGGGTTGAGGATCTGCTTCTCCTGTTGAGATACCCGTTTGGGGGTTTTGATCGGGGTGGTTGTTAGAATGGATCAGGGTAGGCTTCAGGGCTTGTGTCGCACACACGTGCACAGATACATACTCACGCACATCCCTCTTCCCCGACTACGGCGACTTCGTCTTCCGATTTTCGGCCCGATGCTCAGCGCAAGTCAAACAGCTTCTGCCACTCCGTCTTGTAAAAGACCAGGCACTTGGATAGTGTTCGGATTACCGTTGTTGCCGCATGGCACCGTCTACTCACTCTGCTGACACGGCCAATAAAATCTTCGTCCGTCCAGGTGCTCCAGCCTAGAGTATACCATGATGTTCTGATGTTCATGATGTTAATGCTCGTCGTAAATATATTTTCAGAAAAGCCTGCAGGAATGCAACCAGGTAGCACATGCAATTGACCACTGCAGAAGTAGCAGAACTCTTCAGCTGTGCTTGCACTGCCCATCTTAGTACATCTTTGTCAGTAAAAGCCGGGTCGGTATTAGGACTATATAGTTTACAAGTGGTGTGTGATATGCCATAAACCTAGCTTATACTTCTTCGGCACAGCTGCATAATCTCTGCCTGCATGTGGATCTTGGGTCGTATACGATAAAGGACCCATCTGCGTTCGGCAGCCAGTCGGGCAAGTCGATGGTAGCCTTCCTGCAACGAATACATATAGATCCTATTGGCTATTTATTACACAGAACCGTACAACTTAATCCATCCGACTGAGGCCGAGGATCCAACATCTTCCAGCCGCTTTCAACCGCGATCGAGGCATGCTCTCGGGTCAGAAAAATTCCAGAACCGTAAAGTGTTCGAAAGTGAACCCCACAGCATTGCATGGTCCATTGTAGGATCTTGAACATTTCCAAGTGCTCGGGAGCCTCATCTAATACTGGAAATAGACCCCGATCTAGATTAGGCTACGGGAACCATAGGAAATCAAGGCACCAGGGTAGTCTCATCGATTCGGCCAATTAGATCCTCAAGCCAGGCGTTCATTAGGCCACAGTCGTGCCCCTTCCCACATCCAGCAGGGTATTCTTGCAACCTTTGCAGTCCACATGGTAGCAGCTTTAATAAGCCCTACTTAATCCCTATAACCCGACCTATAAATAGGAAATATGTAATTCCAAATTATATGATCATATATCTAAAACCTGGCAAGATGCGATTCCACTCTCAGCGTCTGCAAACTGAAGTGGGGGATGGAAGTAGCCTTTCCATGCTGATGGCAGTAATCTCTGAAATCAGTGTATGCTGCGTCCAAACAGATCTGCAAAGATCTTCCGGGGAACACATCCATGCGGAACAACAAAACCAATGAGCTGGCGGCAAGATCCTTCCCCCACCCCACGATGGCATATGTGTGCGCTACATCCGGTTTGATGGTCCCCCGGTCGTACTCGATTGTCGGTAGGAGTCGAAACGGTGCCGGCGGTTCATTGCATTTATAAGGAGTAGGCATCGGATCTTGAGCATGTGCAAGTGTCAAAGCATCGTTGCTGAAGTCGTACCACTCCTGGTATGTAACAAACCCTAGGCCCCTAAGCCTTGCAATATATAACCGCGACTAATAATAAACATAAGCTTGAAGTACAGAGGCTTAGGCAATTAAGGATCCTCTGACATACAAAGATGGCACTTGAGCTTGGAAGAAAATCCAGGGGCCAATTTCATCGCCTTCCTCAAAAACGGCCAGTCACCCTTCACCGCCAGCACCGCGAATTTGAAGCATAACACCCTCTGTTTGTATGTGACCTTGCATAGGTACATAGTCGACCACTCATAAAAACCTAGACCTAGACAATACATATAGTTTAATTAAGTCATAGAAGTTGCACAGGATCCTCATAGCCTAAGCTGAAACAGCTCAGCTGCTTGAAGTCCATTCTCATACAACTCCAGCAGGTCCTGGGTCATGCTCTCCATCAACGTGTCCAAGGTGAGGTCATTCCAATAAAGTTGGCTGGGGATGACAGTAAATAACATCCGTGTGCTGAAAGAATGCCTCTGGGATCATGGTTTCAATCAGGAACTTAGCTGCATCTGTAACAGATCTGGTGCTGACTTTTAGGGTTTAGGGTTTAGGGGTATAAGGACGATTATAAGTCTAGTACAAAACATAGCCCAGTCACCCACTGCTGTTCACATGCTGAAGACCCTTCCATCCGACTACCGGTTGTATCGATAACACCATTATCGGATGCTTGGCCTTTCCACGGCCCTCGTCACCGTGAATGCAAATTGGCACAGTTCTGCTTGGACACCAATCGTCTCGGGTAAAGCAAGGACAATCCGGATGGCTAGATTGGTAGTTGCTCCAGAAACTTTCCAGCATTGTCGAGTAAGCACTTTCAGCATCCAGGCAGCATCCTCCTAGGAAGGCTTCCCCACCCACACTGAGTGAGTAACTCAGCCACGAAGATGGCTTGATCACCGGGAAGCTCATGTTGGTCTTGCTTGGTTTGCCCTTGTGGACAACACGCACAGGGGTCTCCACGAAGTCAATATGTACCGGAAGAGTATAGCCTTGTCGTACGATAAGCTTGTGTAGACTACGAGAAGCATTGCGACCAACACGATTGCCAGACCCGCAAGCTGCCAGGGCTTTTAGCCCAGGTTCGACAGGACCTCAACCGTTCTAGGACACAACCGATATGATGTGTGTAAACCCACAATTGCACTAACTAGGAGTCGCTAGGAGTGTCTAGGTCCCCACGAGGTCAAACTTGTCAACTCCACCGGGTCTACAGGCCTGTAACCAGATAGTATACGGATGACAGTATGGGCCCTGTATGTTATCTCGAATACTATCACTCAGCCTCGACCCATGCGAATTAAGTTGCAGGTGCCAAGAGTCCGAGTTTCTTCAGCTTGCGTGCTGCCACTTGTGCCATGCGAACAACCCGCTCTGCAGTCTCTCCCTTAAGCGATGCAGCATACCATCCTGTTTACAGATAGAGTTAGATATCCTTAACCCGAACATTCGCTATATAAGCTGAAGAGTACAAGGCACACCTGATTGAAATCCCACAAGAAGCTCGGCTGCCAGGTCGTCATCAGTATCATCCTCGCTCAGACAGCCTGCGTGGTGCCAGCGGGGTGCTTAGAATAGTCGTTGTAGAGATTAGCGGGGGGCCTGGGCTTGGAACCTTTCATGGGTTATGGTCAGGGCCTGGGGATATTCCAAGGCGATCTAAAGCCAGGTTAGGGAATCCATCTTGGGGCGGAAAGATTAGCTGGGCACTTAACAGATAAGGCTTCGGACTTTGAACGATCATTGCAGTTTGCATAATCTATAGCCGGGGAGTTGATGCGATTCGACAGGTGAGCTTCATGAATACGACAGGATAGTTACTGCAAATGATGAGGGGGTTTGTGAGTTAGATTTACTTTGAAAGGCGGGCTTGATGGGTTTAAGGTGGTTTGGGCTTCCAAGGGATTTTGTATGCTCTTTCTCCCTTAACTAGGCCCTAAACCCCAAGCCCCTAAACCCTAACCGGAGCGACCTTCATCATCATTGTCGGCACTGCCATGATTCCCTGCTCGTGGGAACATACCTGCCCGGAGATGTTCGAATCTGCACTAGCCACTAACGAATCTACAAAGTGAGCTGTATTGTTGCAACGTGGCACACCTAACATGTGTCCGGACAAACAAGTCGGCACTGACTTTTGCGCTCTTGCACAACCTCCCCGCGTGTGCACAGGAACTCGTAACTTCACACGAAACGGGTAGATACAGCAACTGGGCACCTATAAGTGCAAATTGCGATCATCGATCTTCAAAGGAAAATCAGGAACCGGCTTTGGGGTTCTTTCCCTTAGATTTGCTCGGGCTGGACTTCTTCCCGCCGCCCTTCTTGGAAGGCTTTGACTTCTCCTTCTTATCATGCTTATCCTTGGACTTGCCCTTCTTGGCAGGCTTCGAGGACCCTGCTGTGGATTTCACCGACCTGATATAGATAGGCTTTACAGGCTTGTAGGGTCCCTGGTTTAAGGGTTTAGGGTTTAGTGGGATGGGCTAGGAGCTCTATCTAAGAACCTTCAGGGTGTATAAGGGACAATATATATATATATATATATAATAATAATATATATATATATATATATATATGAGAACATCTTCAGGGCTTAAGATAAGAAGCTTAGGGACCATGGCGTGGGCTGGGTCAAAGGGCATTTAAGCGACCTTGTGCTAAGGAAGCCTTACGGGTTTGAAGGTATACTATATCATATGGGGTCAAAGGGTCGAGGATCTGGGTTTACAGTCCCGGGGCTTGTATATTGTCGGAGGTTGTAAGAATGCGATGCAAACTAGGAGTGCATCTTGTTCCTGCAAACAAGAGACTTCGATCTCACAATGTAATTGTTCATGATGAGGTCCTGCTTCGTCACATCAGCAAACATGCGAAGGATGGAGTCCGAGAAAGGCCTCGGTAGGTATCTCGCCCCAGGGGATTCAATTGCATTCGTAATTGAGCACAGCAGCTTATCCAGCGGGCGGGTCAAGGCATCAGACTGCTTCTTGGTCAGATCGCTGAACATCAGTTTCATGCCCTTGAGCACCTCTGCGATCTGATCGCGGAGCCTTGGGGATCGATCAGTGTGCACTAACCTAACACACAGCCAATGTCGTTTAAGTGCAGTGGAGTAGCGCTGTGGCACGAGCTCCTCCCACAGTTGCCAACCGATCCTGGGCAATTATATAAATTCAATCAAG